CCCTGAATGAATCAACGGCTCGCGCCTCCCGGGGGGCGATCTTATCTTTGCCTCAGGTTTGCTTGTTGCTTGCAGCTTCGTGTGTACAGCCAGGCCCAGGGAGAGGCGCAACTCGCGGCTACATACGAAGACCCATAACACCAATATCCACCCCGCCCACACACACTCACTCACTCACTCTCAAACTCGCAAAGACAAACAACGCCAAAACGGCCAATGTAAACTGCGCTCGTCGCCAGTGTGCCGTGGTGCCAAGGTGAAGGAAGCGAGACACGTATCCGGCCTCACGTGCTGGAATGCAGCCGTGCCTTGGCCTATCACGCAATGGCACATCGCAGTCGTCGCATGCAGCCCTGTGCAACAGCGGACTCTATCGTCTCCACATGGACCAAACGTATTGGTGGCCCTTGGTTGGGGGGGATGGTGAGTTGGAGCAAACATTGTCCAGCAGACCGTCTTGTTGTCCAGCAGACCGTCTTGTTGTCCAGCAGACCGTCTTGTTGTCCTGTTGTCCTGTTGTCTTGCTGTTCTGCTGTCCTGTCTTGTTACAAGCTCGCCGGCCAAGCTGCCTGCTTCATCTGCCTGCTTCGCTCACACCAAGGAGCTTGAACACAAATGTACTAATAAACACAACACAAATCACACACAGCACAAGATTCAAAGAGCCCCTTCAGACGAACCATTGCATCCATTTCAATTCTCATCCGCAGCTTGCCCACAGTCTCCATCTACCACAGGGCGGGGATATCAAGGAATTCCAGAAGCATTCAAGAAAAGAGAACCCCCTTGAAAAAGGCCAGCAAGCCTAGTTCCTGGTGCCACTAGGACCGCTGGCAAGCGCACCAAATCCCAAAATGGGCCCAGCGCCCCAAATGACAAATTCAGACCATCCCAGGCTATACCACCGCCACGCAAAATCCAAATCAACTCGCTTGTACACTGATCTCCTAGGTATCGTGGTCGCCGAACGCTAAGACTGACCATGACAACGAAGAGAGAAGAGGAAGAAGAAGAAGAAACCCCAATCTACGCTTGCTACATGGCGCACCCTTGGGGGGGGTATGCATGCACATATCATTCGTCGCACCATGCTAGGTTGTGCTGTGTCTCTAGCAAGTCGCCTGTACATGTTCGGGACAATGAGTAAAGGGGGGTCATCGTCGGCTCTTGGACCACCGATCGCGACGCAATCTGATCAAAACACCCAGTTGCCGTCCGTGTCTCTATCTTCAAGACCATCGTAGAGAACAATGTCCCAATCCCGACCAAGCCCCTCTTTATTCTCAGGAGGAGGCCATAGCGAATTATGCACAAAAGAAAACACGGGAAGATGTTTTCCTACAGCAGTCGCGTCTAGCATCTTGCCAGCGTCCGAGTCGGCGTTGAAGACCGACTTGACGGGCAAACGCTTGAACTCGAGGTTTATGGTGCCAAAGAAGGGAATCGTCAGTCGCGCTTTGCCCGTACATTCTTTCCTTGGGTCAAGCGAGGACAGCACCTTCTTCAACACGATGCAACTGCGCGCGGCAATCCTCTCGCGAGGACTCGAGTTGCCTAGCTTCTCCATCTCGTTGATCAGGCGGCAGAGCATGGCGAAGTCGGTCCCTTTGGACTGTTGAACTTCGCTCCTCTCCTTCATGCCGAGCTCGATGATGATGTCCAGGCTGAGCGTAATGGCGGCGATGAAGACGCCAATCTCGCCGAACCGGCAGCATGCCTGCGTGATGTTGGCATTGCGGAGGGCGAACCATCTCATGACAACGTTACGACTCGCCTGCAGGGCAGTCACCTTGGAGTAATCGTACCGACTTTCCCGTGGAGCCCGTAGCAAGTAAGGCAGATGGATGAAAATCTTCATCTCAAAGTGCCACATCTGCACCATGAGTCTCTCCAGCGCCGCATGTGATTCTGGCGAGCGTGCTGTCGAGGGAATGTGAGGCACTTCCCAGAACTCCCGGGGCATTTCCTTCATGGCTGCCTCCAGCTTCTCGTCCAGAGCGAGGGCGGTGGCGTATGTTTGCGGCGAGACTTCGCGATCTAGTTCAGCAATCTCTTTGGAGATGGCATTGATCCGTGCCCGGTGAACCAGATGAGAGTCTGCATCTTCCGAAACGGGGTAATCGTCTGCACCGAGGGGAAGGCGTAGATGTACTCCGAGGTATCGGTCCAGATCCACAAGATTGCGCCAAATGACTTTTGCGTTGGACATGACGGGAATGGGTGGGTCAAGATCTTCTTGAGTGATGATGCGCTGGAATCCCATCAGGTGCGCAAGATTGAGGCCTCGTCGAACAACGAGCCAAGCTTGGCGGAGCGATGCGCTGTTCATGTGGTAGAGTCCAAGAAGCAGGATTGTCTCAAGACCGTGCAGAGTCATGACCACTTCGTCGGAGCAAGTGATGAGCGACGTAACGGTCGAGACGTAATTCTTCATGGTCAGGTTGAGATCGCACCTGCTGGATAGCCTGGAAATGTCAAACTCCGGTGGCAGGCTGTTGATGCAGATTGCCAGGTGAAGAAGAGTGCGAGCAACAATAATGGTTTTCTCTTGGGCCACAGCCTGGACGCTAAGTGCATACGATTGACGATCACTGTTCACGTATAGATTTGGGGACGGTTGATAGATGCTGTCTAGGATCATCCAACCATTCGAGGATTCGAAGATGATGTCTGCATCGTGCTGTGATGGTAACAGAGCGACCAGAGACTTGTGCGCAGTGTCCCCTTTAAAGACAGTTCCGTACTTTGCTT